AGCATGATCCCTGGGGAAGGCTCCTCCAGCCCCGCAGCCGGGCTGTCACTGGCTGTTTGCCTTCTCTAACGCGCCAAAGGACATTTTAAAGCAATTTCCCCTCCACAAATAAATAAAAAAAAACCAAACTGCAGTTTCTCCCCGTTTCTTCTCCCTGTGTCATCTTTCTCCCTTTCATCCCTCTGACATCTTTCTCCAGTAAATCCTTCCCTTACGTCTCATTAGAGACTGTTCCTGGACAATTTGCAGCTGTGACAACCCAGGAGAAGCCCGGGGCCCATCTGCCCAGGCTGACAGCTCGCATACGCACCCGGCTTTTTGCCATGCCTGCCCCGTGAAATGGCTTTGAAAGCAGGTTCATGGCTGGCCTGCCCCATGCCATGGCCAGGAAGGTCTCCTACCTCCCTTTCCAGGGTTTTCCTGGGATGCTGGACAAAAACCTTCACCTCCCACCCTTGCCTTCCTCCCCCTGACATGCTCCTCTCTCCCCACGGTGGTTTTTGTGGCTTTGCAAACCCACAGCGTTAGGGTTTTGCAAGAAAACCTGCAAGTGTTATGCTCCCTGCTCCCTGAATAACCTGCCCCTGGACACAGTGAGGATGGAGGTGGTGAAATGCTGGAGCATGTCCACAGGAGATCCACCAAGCTGGTGAGGGGTCTAGAGAACAAGTCCTACGAGGAGAGGCTGAGGGAACTGGGCATGTTTAGTTTGGAGAAGAGGAGGCTGAAGGGAGACCTCATTGCCCTCTACAACTCCCTGAAAGGAGGGTGGAGAGAGGTGGGGGTTGGCCTCTTCTCCCAAGGGAATAATGACAGGACCAGAGGGAATGGTCTGAAGTTGGGGCAGGGAAGGTTTAGATTAGATATTAGGAAGAATGACTTTCCTGAGAGGGTGGTCAGGCCCTGGAACAGCCTGCCCAGGGAGGTGGTGGAGTCACCATCCCTGGAGGGATTTAAGAAACATTTAGATGTGGCACTTCAGGGCATGCTCTCGTGCCCGGAATTGTTGGGTGTGGTGACTGTTGTGGTGATGGGGTGTTGGTTTTATTGTTCTGGTGTTATGTGTTGGTGGGTTTTGTTTTTTTGGCGGCGTGTTGGTTTTTTTTTTGGTTTGGTTGGACTCCATGATCTTGAAGGTCCCTTCCAACCATGCAGATTCTGTGAAATTAAAAAATACCTGGCTTCGGCGGGAGGCGCGGGTGGCGGAGGGCACGCTGCCGGAGCTGGCACGGATGGAGCCGCCGGATGCCTCCGGGAACACCATTCCAAGGGCACGTCACGCTCCAGCCGGGCGGCTGCCAGCAGAGCCCTCCCCAGCGCTGGCTGCGCCGCTCTCTTGACTCCTTCCAGAGATTTTTTTTTTTTTTTTTTTTAAAGGCAGCTAATAGCTCTGAGGGAGTCCCGGCGTAATGAGAATTGGCAGAAGCGACCAGATATTCGGTTTATTCCCCACCAGTTTTAAATCATTTAGCCTGGCAGAAAAGCTGTGTTTCTACAAGCAATATGTTCTGTTCTGCTCACATCCCAGGCCCTATTAGAAGGGTTTGGTGACAAATGGGGACGGTGGTGTCCACGGGGGGACCGAGACCACGTCCATGGTGATGGGAGAGGGATGAGTTGGCCAGAAACTGGGGTTGAGGACTCCAGTCAAAGCCCATCCCCGTCCACGGGAGCTCCCACCCGCTGCGGTGTGGGACTGGGGAAGAATTTACAGCCCGTTGAATGTGGCCTGTGGCTTCGGTTTAAAAATAAAGCCTTAAAAAGACAATTTGGGGAGCTGGACCGGGGATGCTCTTTGTGCAGCGGAACATGGTTCCTCAGGGATTGCTGAGAAAAGTCGCGGGAGAAGTTCAACTTTCACCCCAGCAATTATTGTAAATCTCTTTGGTCAAGGCGCAGACCTAAAATTATCCCTCAAATCCTTTTTGAAGGTTTGGCTTTTTCACTTGCTTTTTCAAGTGACTGACCAACTGCGTTTCCACGCCGGGAGCCCTTGTTTTCTTTTTAATTGCAGCCCCACAAGGTTACCCGGTGTTGCACCACAAGCAAGGACAGGCTTCCCAACCTTGTTTTACACGTCCTGAAACAACCAGCAACCCACAGAGGGAAGGCGGCCGAGAGCCTGTTATGCATCAAAGTGTTTGCAGTTGCAAAGTGTTTGTCCTGGAAGAAAACTGGGGGTGAATAGGGGATAACCACTGCACCCATACTGGAGCAGGGCTGGGGCTGGTGGGCTTCCATTCCAGCCTTGGGAGAGCACATGGAGAGCCCAGGTCCTGCTGCAAGGTGCCAGGAGAAGACACCCCATGTTCACGGCTCTGCATCAGCTTTTGAGAAGCTACGGTTTCCAAACTCTTCCCACCTCTGCCAGCTCTCTGAGGCGATGCCAAGGTGAAATTCAGGGTTTCTCCTTGCCATCGCTGCCCTTCCCCACGGAGGATGGTCTGGAAGGTCCCATGGTGAGGGCAGGGCAGGGCATCCTCTGGATCCGTGGCTGCCGGACCCACGGCGCGTGGCTCCCAGCCCTGCTGGAGATCGATAGCGAGCGCCACGAAACCCTTAATGAAATTCCAGCCTAAGAGACTATCGATTGGGTATTTTCTTTAGAAATGTATACGAATGGGAGAGAGAGAGGCTTTTTGGAGGCGAGGCCGGGGAAGGAGAGGGCTGAATGGAAACACACCATCAGCCGCTGCGGGAGATGGGTGGAGGTGGTCTGTCTGGGGTCACCCCCACTGAACAGGGGGCTCCAGCCTCTCGGCGAGCGTTAATCCATCCTCAGAACACCCCTGGGAAGGGAAAATGTGGCCAGGCAGAAGCAGGAGGGTGGGCATTCACCCAAAAATCCTCACACAAAACAGTGATGATGAAACCAAGGAGAAAAGTCAAGAGTCCCTGCCCCGGTCGTGCCTCCTAGACAGCACTTTTGCAAATCCCCCTTTGCCCTGTGTTTCACGCTGCTGCCTGAAACACACACACACAAAGAGAGGTTTAAGAAGACGCTGCGCTCTTCTGCTTCAAGGGTTTGGGGGAAGGAAATGCAAATAGTGCAAGCATCACTGTGCAGCAGCCCGACCACCAGCCTCCCTCCTCGTTTCTGCACCCTCTGAGTGCCCCCAAAAGCAGCCTCCCCCCAAATCTCCCCGGATCACTCCTCCGCAGGGCGAGAGGAAGCGCAATAAATAAATAATAATAGTCATAAAAACCCAGCCCCCTCTCCGCCCCTTACATAACCAGCATTGTCTTAATCCTACAGGTGCTTCGCAGAACTAAAAAGGATTTGTTCCTTCTGCAAATCCTTTTTCTTTTAGCTTTGGGATTTTTTTTTTTTTTTTTTTTTTTTTTTTTTTTTTTGGTGAGTCATCCTTACCCGCCCCGTGGACATGCTGCAGGAGGGAGGCCCCCGGGGGTAATGTGACCCCTGACTAAATCACTTAAACCTCTCTGGGCTTCAGTTCCCCCCTGCGGTAAGATGCGGATTATAAATCTGCCCTGACCCCCTTGGCAGAGGAAGGTGCTCGGAGATGGGTCTGTAAATATGTCAGCAGGACAGAGAAGGCAAACACTGGGGCTGGTCCATGACACCCCTGCCCGGAGCCCACTTTGCCCACCCAGTGCTGCCCTGTGAACCCCAGGGATGTGGGGGGTGCCCGGGGGGGTCACCCCAAACACCCAACGCAAAAATGGAGCCTTGGGGCTGGTAGATGGGGCGAGAAAACGTTGGTGGAACCTTCTTCGGGCATGGGGGTGCCCTTCCAGGATTGG